AATTTTATAGGCTTAACCATCATTCTATTTTTTATGTCTTTGAAAATTCTGTTTTCTATGCTAATATTAGCAGACTTCCACCTATACCCTTTTACCTATAACAAAATGGGATGACCCAGTGTTTCTGCTTCATCTTTGGCAAAAAAAAAGCATTTAGAGAAATACACTGGCATTTGGCCATGTGTACCAGGTAATCAGCAAGCCATGTAAAAATCTTACATTCTCCATGTAATTGCTTTTTTTAATTCTTGAATATCTAAACAAACTGTAAAGTAAGTCTGGAAGTAACAGCAGAGTAGTATCTAACTCTGCTATTCCAGTGGGGTTGGTATTAATTTTTGTAACCTTAATCGAATAACACCAGCACCTCTTATCCTTTACTATAATGCATATGGTACTAGAACAGAATAATTAAATAGTGACCGAGGTTGTACTGAGAGTTCAAAGCAGGGAAAAGTGTCCAAATGAAACATTAGGGCAAAGACAACTGGAGGAAGAAGGCAGGATCTGAGCGCAGAGTGAAAGCTACCAGATCAAGACCCGAGAAGGTCACGAGTATGTATTTTCTGGTGGTGAAGGTCTAAAAAAATTCTGTCTGAGACAGGGAGTTGTGCCTGACACTGAACTTTTATAACCATTAGTAACAGTATTTGGTGAGAGGTAGGGGCTCCATTGAAAGGGTCCACAGTAAGCTAGGATGGTATAATTAAAATAAAGTATCACTCCTGATTATTCTCCAAGGTCATCTTGCTATCATTTTTGTAGGGATCCTGATTTAGATAAAGCTTTGTCCAACAGAGTTTTTTCTTCTTTTTTTCTTATCCCCAATCTGAGTTGAACACTATTCTAATTCTTGGTGCCAAATATTCTAAGAATAGTCTTGACCCAGTCATCATGGCTCATGACATGGCATTAGGAGTTTTCTGGCCTCTAGCTCAAATGGTGAGATCAGAAATTACCAGTCCTGGCTTTGGAATCAGATCTCACTGTGGCCACAGCAGATAAGGACAGCCAGACCTCAGAATGACCTTGAACCTGTTTCTACTTCCTCAGCCTGGTTGTCCTGATATGCAGAACCATGGCTGGGAATCCCTAAGGAAAGGCAAAGTACTCAGTTGTCTAAATATATTTGACTCTAGCATTTTGCCTAGTAATTTAATTATCTGTGTTTGGAAAATAGAATTTCTTTTCTAATCAAACAAGGACAAGTGTCAATGGAAACTAACTGAAATGCATGTCTCAGAATGAGGAAGCATGTTCCCCACCTACCTCCTGAGTCTGATGTTGAGGTGCCTTGTTACAAAGGAGCCAACACACATTTGGTGTCAATAATAGAAAAGATGGAAAAAATGAAGAAAAGGTGCCAGAAAATGAAATATAAAGAAATAACTTAAGTGGAGGCTGAACACAGCAAAAGGGGTAGGAAAACAAAGAGGAAATAGATAACATTCTTTGTTCAGAAAGGCAATAGTTATATTGAAGACCTGGTCCTGGTTAAGTAATTTTTCAACTTTGACAACCAGATTAGATGAATGAGAACAAGTGGAAAGTAGAAAAATACAGCCCTGATTGTAATTAGCTGGTTTTTGCCTGAATTATCTAGACATTTACTTTTACCTTTCCACCCAGTCTTGCATAGTATGTCCTGCAAGAGAAAGGGCTAGAGTCAAATCAAATATTCTGTTGGGAATTCCTGATTAGATAGTGGCACAAAGGCAAAATTAAAGGGAGTGAGAGAAGGGAGTGGGGCCAAGTTATGTGATGAAAACACACACAAATCCTTTTAACTCAATAGTAAAATCCTTGGGAATTTATTTGTGGGTGCTTCTTAATGGGAAGTCAGGCAGGAAGAAAAATGATACTGAACTTCCCTAAAAAGTACGCACATATGCCAACTAAAATTGAACAAAGACTATGCAGGAAAAATAAAATTTCTTAATAAGCTCTGGGGGCAAATTCTTGGACTAACAATAGCTGTACACCAACTCTGCAACAAGGGGCTCCCGGAACATCTCTGAGCTCAATGTGACCAAAAGGTGAGAAAAGAGATGCAGCACCCAATCTATTATTAATGACAGGTCTGCGTGCAAGATAGAGTATTTATAAAATTTTCACAGACAAAAGGAAAATGTTTTCAAACATCAAAGAAGAACAAGGAAGTATTTATGATCTAAATATCAAAGGCTGTGCATTCCAGTTTTGGCAAAGTGGGTGATTCCTTCCCCCCAACCCCCTATTAAAGACCCTATAAAACTGCCAACATCATCAGAGCATATTAGGTGGGGGAGAATCATGGGACACTAGAGCAATGTACTTGGAAGGCATGTAATTATTTGCAACTTCTATTGATAGACAGCAGCTGTATTTGATATACACAGGCACACTTAACATAATAAAACAACACTAACCATGGTACATACATACAAAATCATCTGTTTATTCTTTGTTGAGACTTTCTTTGTGCATATCATTTTCACTGACGTTTTTTGAGCCTGTGAGAAGAATCAAATTATGCTTATTAAAAATATGTGTATTTCTGGAGGGATATGCGTTCCTATAACCTTCATTATGATGTTCTTAATTAACCAATATGCCTCATAATAAAGTATCTAGCTGTCACCAAAATCAACACTTTTCAGTTATTAATAGATTAAGGAAAGAATGTTAATTTCTTCAAGCTCCATTTCATTTGGTCTCATTACTTCAGGAGCCAGATGGTTACAGGGCTGGACCTGTCAACAGTTACTGTGGGGAAGAATACATTCAGAAACACCGAACTGAAGTATGAATAACAGCTGAAAAATGAATCCTTGGGTAGCCGCGCACAATGCAGAAGGCAGGGCAAAAGTTATTTTGCTGAGAAATAGAGAAAATTATGAATCAGGACCATTTTAATTGATGTTTTTTTTTTCCCCTGAACACCCACCCCTTTCCTCTCTCAGCACATTAAATTTTCTCCCCCAAGAAATCAGCCACAGAGGGCTCCAGCTGTGTTGTGGAGGAGATCTCCATTTTTCAGGTGTCTGACGATTTCTCTTGTCCCTCATGCTGCCGGGATTTGACAGCTCTCCTACACTGTTGGTTGATTGATGATGTCAACTTGGAAGAGACAGTACAACTAGCAGCCAATTTTTTCAAGATATTTCTTCTTCTTTGATTTAAAAAAATTATGCCTGAGTGCTTCAAAAAGAAGTCACCCTGAAGGACACCTCCAGCTGGCTTCCTCAGGGTGCCGTGTGGCTGACTGCTGGGGAATGGAAATTGAAGGAGTTAGTAGATCATTCTCTCTTAATTGTTGTAACAATCTCTATGTTGTTCCAGCAATTTTCAGGTTCCATCATTCTGTAGTTCAGTTGAGTGACGGTCAATGTTCAAAGCTAAGAGACAGGGTGTTTAAATTGTTATTTTGGTGAAATTTCTTTGCTTTCAAGCAAGCCAGTTGCTCAGAATACACCACAGTCTGTTATATGTCAAATAGGGTCAATATTTTCTCCTTGTAAAATATTTTGTGATGTTCAAGTGTGAAATGTTACAACACTTACTTTCCTATGCCACAGCCACTTTGCATTTCTGGTCACTCTTAAACACTCTTGTGTCTAAATACCTGCTCCCTAGTGGAGATGAAGCAACCTGCTTTTCTTTTTTCTTTTTTTTTTTTTTAAAGATTTATTTATTTATGCAGATAAGAACTGAAGTATAGGCCAGAGGTATAGGGGGTGAGAGGATTTACCAGAGACAGAGTGGGGAGCAGAACAGGCAGATCTACTGAAATACACTGCTGAGCAGCGAGAGAGACAGGAGAGGTCTGCTGCACCATGTGGGTAACTCCCTGGCCAGGGATCGAACTCGTGCTGCAGAGGCTGGTGGGTAGCTTCACAATGCTGTGCTTAATCCCTTTCACCACCAGGGGGGCCTCTTTTCTTTTTTAAAGGGGAAGATTTATAGACATGTTGAAGTATAGAGCTGTAAACCTGAAACTTGTACAATGTTATAAACCAGTGTTTCCTCAATTTAAAAAATTTTCCCCTTAAAAAATTAAAATATAGGAAAAACTTAAATATCACAGATATGCTGATTTTCGTGCATTAGTACTTATAAGACAACAAAAAAAAATTAGCCTTACAGAGATTTTTTTCCAAAGTTTGTACTTTGCTGAGAAAATAAAGAATCCAGAACAGACCCCTACACTGTAAATCTTAAACAAACAAACAAACAAACAAATAAATAAATAAATAAGAGATGAACAGCTCCATCTCTTATAAATCCTCTTATAAATCCACTTATCCAAATTTCCATTTAGGATGTATTGAGAACTTACTATGTTCTAAGCACTTTTGTTAGGGATGCCTAGTGGACAAACATATTCATCCAGTGATTATTTTCAACAATCTTCAATTTCTATAGAAAATTAACTTTCCCTCAGACACCTGTTTCATTTTTAACAAATGAAAATGTATACAGATAAAAAATATGTTCATTTTAGGATATGTTTTCCTGTAAACAAGGAGAAAAATTTCATTTTGTGATTCTTTCTACCAAGCTGGTGATCTGTACTTTCAATGGGGAGAATCCAGTTCAACAGTCTGAGGACAAGGGATTCTAGTAGATCTAGAGTGGAACACTTACTGTCCATCAGCACTTAACACTTCTCTCTGAAACACACCAGCCTCTTCAATCAGTTCTGTCTTTCAAGTTTCTCCCTTTATCCCAAATTGATTAGAAATAATCTTCTAAGGAAATATGAAAGTGTGGGCAAAGGCTATTTGACTCTAAATGTATGGTCGGCAAACTTTTTGCACAAGGGCAACTTTCAGAAAAAGAAACTGTTCATGGGAAACTTTTTTCTCTCAACATTCCAAGTGATAATAAAAATATCAAGTACCACCGGAAAGTCGTGTATATTCTTCAAGCTAAAATTGCCTACTTGATAGAAGACCAAATAAAATTTGACTCTGAATTCTAAGGTAATAAAATTAACCAGTCAATTGTGTTCTTTCTAGCTGCTTTTATCCTGGGTCTCTACTGGCTCATTGGTGGTCTAGGCCGGGAATAACACTGGCAACTAGGTAAGCAGTGATCTGGGTAAGCAAGGAAAACTGGCAGGTCAGGCCCTAGAAATGTTTATTTGTATGAGGAATTGAGTAGCCTCTTGGAAAAGATCCCATCCTAAGGGAGGAGAAAGACTTATATTCAATTTGGGTCTGTAAACCAGCTCAGTTAGTGGAAAGCAGGCTAGCTCTTAATGCAATACGTTGCCACTCATGTTCTCAAGGCAGTTCAGCTTATACTAAGTTTCCCTCCCAGGTCCCAAGGTCATGTGACCTAGGAGGGAAACTTAGAATAAGCTGAATAAACTTTTCTCAGAAGCTCAATGGGGCCATTGGAAATCCAAAATATCTTGGTTTCCAGGAGAAAAGCATTCTGTCCCCTTGGGCATTGGACATTTGACACGCCTTATGCTCCAGCACATCCTTCTACTGTGACTCCAGTCATAGTGAGGGCTAGTTTGTTTATTTATTTATTTATTTATTTATTTATTTATTTATTTATTTATACAATATCCATCACCCATAGCTTCCTCAGTAGCCAGTGGCAGTGCCAGTGAAGCCTGGAGGCGCCAGACACTGAAACAAAGGATGAAACTGGCTCAGTCTTTTCTGACAGGGACCATCAACAGGAGCAGGACAAGGGCTCAGCTGTGGGACTGCCAAAGGCGGTCAGCGCAAGAAGGGGAGAATGGGAGTTGTCCTTACTACTCAAAGGATCTGATTGTGACTTACCAATAAGAGACCCCCAGGGACTCCTAGAAATAGCTGGTGGAAGGAGGTGGAGACATTGAAGGGAATGAAAGGAGTTCCAGAGGTTTCACAATTGGAGGAAGTAAGCCCAGGAAATGCTGTCAAGTTTTCCCATTTTGCCCTTACAATGATGTGACTTGGGAATTAAAAAAAAAACCAAACAAACCCTCCAGTCGTGTTAAGGTAGTCCTTTGTAGAAAACAAAGAGGAACCATGATTTTTACTTTGTCACTGACTACCAGACACTGAAAAGATTACACTGTTTTTTAACATACCGTGTTAGAATTGGGTACTATTCAGGTCTTTGGGGGATTGTACTTAAAACTCCCAAAGCTACAGCTATTTATTCTCTCTTGACCAAAGAGCCTTAACATTCCCCTCAGCTTCATTAAATATTGGACAAGTTTCTTCCTGACTGTAAGTCCCTGACCTCCCTTTTCTTAGCATTTATTTTAGAGAACTTGCAAATGCAAATTTTTTCTCTGCCCCTTTGAAATATAAATCTTCTCTCACTCTCTAACTGTCCAGAATGCCAGCCAGTCTTGGTTCTGTTGGCCAATAAAAGGACATAGAGTTTGAGAAGATAGCAGTTTAATTTGCCCACAAATTGAGGAGGGCAGCAGACTCATGTCTGAAAGACCACCGTCCTACTCTTTGGCAGAGGTTGGGGGTATTTATCCAGATTTACAAGGGAGTAGAAGGGTAGAGCAGGCAAGGGTCAGCCTGTCCATCCTTGCAACACAAGTGTCTGCGGGTTTTGGTTGATGCCAGCTTGCTTTCGCTGGTGGTCTGCAATTCTGACTTTATCTTCCTGGGGATGCTCTTTTCTTTGGAATGTGAAAAAACATGTGTTAAGCCTAAAGGGTAAATAAAGAAAGGAAATGGGAGAGCTTATCTGGTGGGACAGAGAGAAAGACATATACTTCGTTACCGCATCATTATCAGTTTTTTAATGCAAGAGTGTCATTCTCCAGATTCTAGGAGCCATCCCTTTGGATTGTAATCATCAGGTAAGGTAGCACTCCTTGCTTCCAGGGTCCATGGGAGAACAGGAGCCTGATTTCCATAAGCTCCAATTAGCAAACACAGATGGTCTGATCACATGGACCAGCCTCCTCCTCACGACCTCTGGTACTTTTCCCTTAGGTCATTCCAGCACTTACAACTCAGAGTACAGTTCAGCTTCCTCCCCTGTTGCAGTCGTCTTGAACTAAGTCTCCCTCACATCCAGTACGATTGCTTTTTGATACCACCTTTAACAAGAGCTCCTTTCCCCTGTTGCTTAGACTAATCCTGAAGGAAGGCAAGAGGGTTTCTTTTTTTGTTTGTTTGTTGTTGTTTTTTTTTTGGTGTGGGACCCTCGCTGGTGGCCGGGGATCAAACTGGTGCTGCAGAGGCTGCGGGCAGCCTCGCAACCCAGCGCTCAACCACTGCGCCACCAGGGGAGGCCCAGGCAAGAGGGTTTCTGCCTGCTTTTGGCTCTCCTTGATGCTATTCTGACCTTGAGATAAATAAGCTTACATCTAGTTCTTGAGCTCATACCCAGATTCACAGGGTCAGGGCTCACTGCTGAACTTTTTAAAATGCTGATTTTTACTAGAATCTACCTGTTTCTAAATCTTTCAATCTCTGTTCTGTACCATGCTGACTTTCTTCTGGTTGTAGGTGGTACTTATAAAATACTGTAGGGAGCAGGAATGGCCACTGAGCAGGTTTTCTAGGATCCCATGCAGACCGGGTAAAGGAGTCAGAGTCCTCAGTGACTTTTGCAGGTTTTTTATTGGGGTTCACCAGGCATATGGCAGGCAGGGGTGCTGGGGTGCCGGGAGGCTGGCAGGCCTCCCAGCCCCCAGCAGGTCTTCACTCTGGGCTCTCCGACCTTCTCTCACATTCTCTCTGCTCTTCTCATGGCTCTGCTCCTCTCTCGCTTCTCTGCTCCTCTTTCAGCTTCTATTGGCGTCCCCGTGAGGCCGCCCTTAAAAGCCCAGTCTCAGCCCAGGTGAATGCCATCTACCTATGCCCACACCCTATTTCAGGTGCCCGCCATCAGGCATGCATTCAGGACCGCAAGGATCCATCATCTATCCTGATGGCGGGAGGGCAGAAAAGCCTGACATTTTTCCTTACCCTACAAATACCTTCAGAAAGCTTGCAGGAGACCAACATAAAATTTAACTTAGCAATTTGGGATATTATTTTTAGCTGAAATATCATAAAATTATGGGACATTACTATAAGCCATACCTAAATATTTTGGGAACTGGTAAAAGGTTTGGTGAGTCTTTAGTAAATATTTTAGAAATTTTTATGTGTACATTTTTTATGTGTATACTTCTTGTTTTCATTAGAGGTATTTTTCTTGAGCATCTGCTTCTCTCACCCCATACCATGCATTCTCCCACGCAGTTTACTTATTCTGCAGGATGCCTTTGCACTAAATATTCTTGCTTCCTACTGAGCTATTTTCTAAGATGATACTGTCATATCAATCATAGTATAAAAATCTCAAGATGAGACTTGAAAAAACCGTATTATGCTTTTTGTTTATAAATCTGAGGACTTGAGAAGGAAGGTTAGGGAAGGTGCATTTAGTGTCTCTTGGGTACCTTTTCATTTCATTTCCAAGTTTGATGTCCAGCCAGAATTTCAGCCAGTGGGTCATATGTTTGGGGCAGTAACTGCTTCCCTCTACACATGAGAACTGAAGTAGATATGATGGCTCCTTCTTTACATTCACGAGGAACACTCTTCACTAACTCAGTTTGAAGCAGGAATGGCACTGGCAAGGTAACTTCATGATGATGTGTGAATTCCCTGTTGCTGCTGTGACAGATTGCCACACATTTAGTGGTGTAACCAACACAAATTTGTTATCTTACAGTTCTGGAGGTAAGAAGTTGGGAATCATTTTCACTGGGCTAACATCAAGATGTCAGAGGGCCTGTGTCTCTTCCGGAGACTCTAGAGGAGAATCTGTTTCATTTCTTTTTCCAAATTCTAGTGGCCACCCGAATTTCTTGGCTCATGACTCTTTCATCTTCAAGGCCAGTAATGTAGCATTTTCTCCCCTTTCAGTTTTTTGTTTCTGCCTTTATATATTCTCTCTCTCTCTGTCTCTCCCCCTACCCCTACCCCATAATGGCACCTTATAATGACCAGTAATTACATGGGTCCACCAGGATAACTTCTCCATCTCACGATGTTTAACTCACATTTATAAAGTTCTTTTAATCATATTAGACAACACATTCATAGATACTAGGGATCTGGAAGTGGCTATCATTGGGGAACTATTTTCAGTCCACCACAAGTGGTTTCTCCTTTCTAATGTTGATAGCAAAACTAGTAGAAAAAAATAGGCTGATCCTATTTCCTTCTGTCTTTCTTGCTTCCTCCTTCATTTGTCTTGTCTCCCTACCTTTAAACATTAGAATATCTGATCCTAGCAGGCAGAGTGGACTAGAGTATGGGAGAGGTTAAATGCAGCAATGGAATATAAATTCTGTGTCTTAGTTGTAAATCTATTGTTTTCAAAGGTTTCTGTCTGATTTGTTACAGATCCAAAAATGTAATTTGGTGCACTTCTATTGTCACTGAAATATATGTCAACCCCGTTGTTCCTTCTTCAAAGAAAAACTGGTCTAAAATAGAGGTGATACAGAGGTCATGCCTCAATGTCTATAAATTTCGAAAATAGCAATTTTAATTATTTTGAAATGTATTGCTCTATAATATATCATTTATGGAATTCCTAAAACAAGTTTCCCATGGTGAAAAGAAAGGACATGTAGCCATGTTAATTAAAAACAGAACAATTTATTATGTGGCATTATTTCCTAGGTTTCATTTTATCAAATTCTGGCTGCATTCCTCTAAACTCAGAAAAATTTTGACAGTAGAGAATATTCTTTCCGAAATTTTGATGTCTTAGGGAACAATCAGTAATTTTCAAAAGCTGACACAATAATCCATGTGTATGCATTTTAGCAGAGTACTTGTTCTAGTTCTTTTCTAGAAACAAATACACCATGAAGCTAATGCTCCTATGACAATTGTGGTTCATCTGGAACTTTAAAATCTGAGAAAAGCACTGCTCCTATCACTCCTAATAAGTAGATGAAAAATAGGGTTCTCTAAAGTACTTTACCTATATACATTTTAAAATTTCTCATGTCAAAAGAGACCTCTTCTGCCTTTAATATAAACAAGGGACAAAATTAAATGCAAAAGACTCTGTTAATGCAAGATTGAGATTCTCAGAGGAACATCAATTTCCCCACATTCCACACATTCTGAATATTAAGGTAGCTAAGAGACTAGCTAGTTCTGGAAAACACAATATTTGAGGTATAATGGATACAATTGAAAGGAATGGCTGCCTGGCTCACATTTTTAGCATGTATGCCCACACTGGAGTAAACTCTTGATTATCTGGGGTCTAATCAGTGAGAGTTAGTATGAACCTTGTTTCTTTTTTTTTCCTCTTCCTTCTTTGCAGCTCCAAGGACCTTCAACCTTTGGGAGAAGAAATAAAATGAAAACAGGCAATTTGGTTCCAATTCATGGCCTGATTAGTGGTTTGGGAGATGTGGGTGCAGGGCCAGATTGAAATTGTCATTAATAACAAAGTATTACCTGAATCTTGTTTCTTGAGTAACTTATGAAAATCAGGGTTATGCTCTCAGTCTTAAATAATTCCCCTTTCTCCCAGGACCACAAATGATGATTTTCTCTAAAATCATTTGAATTTTTAAAAAATTGTGTCTTCCTTAATTTCAAATAACTATTTTATTCCTATAAAAAATAGGATAGAGACAAACTCAGTGGACATTTTACTGGAAATGGAAGCAGATGCATATCATATGAAATAATCCAAATATTCTGACTTTCTCACTCTCCCCAGGTTTTGAGAAATGTACAAAGAATTTGCAGTATAGATCCTGTTGAATAACAATAGCAACACTCTGTATTTATACAGTGCCTTTCCTTCAGAGAGTTCAGAGTGCCTTATAAACAGTATCTCATTAATCTTCACAACTTCCTTATATGGAAGGTGGTTTCGGCTATCATCACTCACATCTTTATCAACAAAGAAACAGTTACCTGCAGAGTGGCTAAGCAACTTGTCCAAGGTCACTGAGGGAGTGAGTGGCAAAGTCAAGAATAAAACTTAGGGCTTTGACCTTCCAGTTTAGTATTCTCTCCAGGAGGCCACTTTGAAGGAAGAGCAGTTTCAAACATGCATATTCATAAGTCTCCCAAGAAAAATCTACCATTTCTCAATATTTTCTCGGCCAAATTTTGATGTTAATTAGCACCTGTTTGATATAAACCCAATAGTTGGCAGTGACAGGAAAATATTGAAACTGTGCTAACATAGCATAGAAACCTCAGCCCCTAAGTCTCATTAACACCTAGATGATCAGCAGTTGACTGCACAAATTCATTAGACCAACCACATAAAAGAAAGCCGAGGAACAGGAAGTGACCACACAGAATGGGAAGACATTGTTTGAAATTACCAAAATCTTAGCCACCCCCCCAAAGTAGATGGGCAATACCAATAAGGATAAGTAATCACTAAATGGTTTAATAAGCATTTCTTTTATTATTTATCACTTAAATATATTAAGTATGCACTTATATATACTAAGTGTGTACCCCTATCCTCAGGTAACTGCTAGTCTAGTGGAAAAACATGGAAGTAGGTGTACACAGTGTCATGGGAGAGGAAGAGCCAGGGATAACCCTTCCTGTTGTCATTGAAGAAGAGTGGGCCAAAATCCAGCTTCCAACACTCTTGTCCAGTTATGGCACTTAATTTGAACAAGGTATCTCCTCCTGAACCTCTCCTCATTTCTCTTTGTGTAGTGGACATGTTCCAATCTTCAGCTGTCAGCTTAATTGTTTCTCCTCAGAGAGGGTCTCCTTACCTCTCTTATGTGATTTTTCCTTGTCGTTGTCATCAATCTCAGAACACCATTTCCTACAACACTCATCTTATTTGGTACAATAGGACTGCTTGTTACCCAGTTGATGATCTTTCTCCCTCTCTTAGCTGTAACTCCATGAATAGTAATGTACTAATGGTACAAGGAGGCTTCACTGCCCCTGTGACTCCCATCTAAATCACACTGCTAAGTAGTTCCTTACAAAGGTAAATCAGAGGAGGTGGGTTCTAAATTGAAAGCATTGAATCCTGATAATATCTAATTTCTTTGGGAGGAAAGAGATTTTTTTTGAGACTAGATGTATTTATGAGAGAATATGCAGGCAATATAATATGGAAGAATTTGAGAAGATGGTGAAGGTTTGGCATATGGGTCTTGCGACATATTAGCAACTCGGTATTGGAAAGAGTGGGAGCATGGTTAACTTGACCCAAGGGAGGACAATTGTTGCTGAAGGCTGAAGGCTAAGGGATTGATGGTGCTAATAAGAAGGTAAAAAAAAACTAGTTAGCTATGAGATTGCCTTTGGACAGGTCAATATGTGAAGCCAAGAGGAGACATATATTGGGACAAAAAAAGAGAAGTTAAAGAATTGGAAAACAGTAAGCCCATATGGGAATAAGGTAGTTGGAGAAATGAAAGACTTGAGTTAATAATTTTAGAAATACACAAAAAGTGAATGATGACAATACCCAGGAGAGGCTGCTGAAATTAAATAAGAATGGAAATCTCAAAATAATACAATGTGGAATTACCCAGAGGAACTGAATTTAATGAGAGGCCTTCTTGGTGTTTATATATAAATCCTGTATATGTAAAATTTGGTTTCCTGGTAAAGATGACATTTTCTGACTCTCTGATGTTCCCGAATGTACTTTGAATGTACCCTGGAATCCCACAAAGGAGGCTACCTGCTTTTCCTGGGTTGGTAGTTTGATAATGGTAAATAACTATAAAGAAGCCCTTTGTCTTTATCTCTGACACTAGTTGGCATTCTCTTAAAACAATTCACAATTTCTGCCAAAATATGTTCAGGAAATATGAGCTACTGCAGCTTGTGACCCCTTTAGATAACCACAAACCAAATCATGGAATACAGTTCAGCTGAGTAATAAAATATAATCAGATTGGCAGGCAGCATCAGGCTCAGCCATGCCCATACAGATCTTCTTTTAACTCAGTTTAACAAGTTGCTCTCCAGAAGTTATTTATTCCACCTGTCAACATTCCTATTGTGGAAATGACAGCCATCAAATCTCTTTTAGATCCTAATCCTATTCTTTTCTCTTCTGCTTCAGGTAGTAGAAAGCCTATAAGCAATATCCTTTTAGTCAGCTAAGTGATTTGTTTGACATTGATCATTTGCTTGAAGGTATAGCTATCAGCTTAAAAAATAAATGTAATATCACCATCATTAGCCATGTAGTAAATTCAAAATAAATGTCTGAAACCAAAATAACTGAAATCTTCTGAGGCCTGGATTAGTGTAGGTAGTTCTCCTACCAGGAGTAATCTGCCATCCTACCTCAGCATGCATAATAAACTGTCAGTCTTATTGCAGCATCACTACAAGGTACTGTCAGGCTGAGTTTCACATTTTGCTCTCAACCTCATTCTTAATAAAGATCTGTTGCCAATAGGTCAAAGAAGGTCAGTGGTTAGGAGGAAATGACCTTCAATTTGAATCCCATATTTCTTTTTTAAAAAAATCATTTATTTAGTATACAAGAACTGGGGTGTAGCCCAGAGGTGGGGGGTGGGGGGTGTTGAAACGATTCACCAGAAACAGAACAGGCAGACTGACTGAAATACACTGCTGAGGGGAGCAGCGGGCAAGACAGGAGAGGTCTGCTGCTCTACATGTAGGTTAGCTCCCTGGCCAGGAATTGAACTCATGCTCTCATGCTGCAATGGCTGGCTATAACATGATCGTGCTGAGACTTTAACCCCTGTGCTACCAGAGAGACCCTGAATCCCATAATATTTCATGACAATAAAAAGAACAAGAAATTACTAAAGGGATTCACAAATAAAAATGATAATAAATTCATAGGAAATCCATAGTTAGGCACACCCCTGGGCAATCTTAAGTTCAACCAAATGTCTTCCATAATGTGGTTGGCCTTTTTATTAAAAAAAGTAGTCAATATTTATTGTTTCTTTGTGCCATATATTCTAAGTCTTTTCTGTGTTTAACCATATATGAGATATAAAATTATTATTTTTACAAATGAGAAAAATGCAGCTTGGGGAATTTAAATACCTTACCAAAACTAGTAAGTGTTAGGTCCAAAATTTGAATATATGTACTTAGGCTATAGTACCCAAATGCTAAAATAAAATATTCGGTAAACAAGTTATGTTAGTTCAAAGTTAAATATTAAAAGTGTTGCAGATAGCATTTAGAACTATAAAATAAACTTTCTTTCTGGAAGATTTACAAGTTCCCTGGGAGAATTCCAGGACTTTCCCATGGAGGACTTACACTAAAGCTGGTGGTTTGTTGCTGGGAAGGAACTGGAAGAGGCAAAGAGGAGCATGGCTGGGAAGGTAGATACCATGGCCAGGGGTCAGGTTTCCACAGCCCTCTCGGGTGTTTCAGGCATGGTAAATTTCCTTGGAGGGATATTTCAGAAATGGAATGAGGTTACACACAATCATAGATCCAGCCTGGGACATTGAGGATTTCACAACCAGTGCAAGGATAGCTCTCCTCCTACTCCCCTCCCTGCAAGAAGCGATCAAAGAGTCGTCAAGAAGAGTCAATTCCACTCCTAGGAATCTACCCAAATGACACAAAAACTTTGATTTAAAAGAACACCTGTATACCTGTATGTTTATTGCAGCACTATTTATAATAGGTAAAACCTGGAAACAACCCAAATGCCCAGAAATAGAAGACTGGATCAAGAAGATGTGGTATATATACACAATGGAATATTATTCAGCAATCAAAAAAATAAACTCATGCCATTTGCAGCAACGTGGAGGGAGCTGGAAGGAATTATGCTCAGTGAAATAAGCCAGAAGGAAAAATAAAAATACTGGATGGTTTCACTTATAGCAGGAAATAGGTGACCCAAATAAGACATCAGTGTAAAAAAAAAAAAAAAACACAAAACACAACAAAGCAAAAACAGACAATTATAAATCAGAGACATCCTGTAGGGGAGGAGGAAGAAGAGGTATCAGAGGGAGGGAGGGAGGAGCACAGGAGACTGTGGTGATGGTGAAGGGAATTCTATAGGGACTCTACCTGGGGGGGGGGGTGGCAGAAAGCAAATATTGTTTAAAAATAATGATGTAAAAATTAAATTTTTAAAAAATAAAAAGAAGAAGAGTCAGCCCAGGCTCCATCACAGACCCATTAGCAGAAGGAAGGACTGGTGAGGGAGAATTCACCACTCCCTTGGAAAATATCAGAGGGAATGTGGTACTTGCAGCCTTGGTCTCTAGTGGCAAGGTGGCAGCGGTGGTGACTGGTGGAGATCGTTGTCCTTGGTCATAGCTGGAGAATGGGGCATACAGCCCGATTGGGTGCCTCCTGTTTGCCAGGCCCAACTGACCCCGGTGTGAGCCTTGTGGACTGCACCTAGCCCACCTTGCCAGGAGATTCAAGCTTCATGGATCACAGTTGGAAGCAGAACAGAGTAGAAGGGAGAGTGTGGCAAGTCAGGACAACTGAAACACTAAATGGAACTTGCTGTGGAGAGAGGAGAGGAGGCAGAGGAGACAAACATCAGTCCTTGACCAAAAAAGCCACTAAGTATTTAATCCCCAGGCCCCCCTCCTACCCCTATCTCATGCCAGGGTAAACTTAGAAGAGAAACAAAACTAACCCAG